GGTTATTGATGTAGTTCTCGGGTATGTCTGTGATTACACTTTGAGGTCCGCCCGCCTCCAGCAACAGCACCATTACGTTGGGGTCTTCGGTGAGCCGGTAGGCGACTGCTGCGCCGGCAGATCCTGAACCCACCACCACGTAGTCGTAGGCGTCCAGCCATTTGGTACGACTGCAAGTTTGCTTGTGGATGTCCTCCCGTTTCAGGATAATTAGGGCTGTCGTCACGATTTGCATCGTCAGACTCGCGTAGGTCCTCATTGTGTTGGCTGTCCGGCACTGGTATGTTGTGTTAGTTTAGTTATAAAATGATTGATAAAAATACAATTAAACTAATAATGAATTGAATATAAAGTTTTTAATATGAAAAAGTCTTTGTTTCATAAGTGCATGACTTATAGTGATTTAGAAATGAATTAAATGAATGAATATTCTGTTTAAATATTGAAAGTCTTTATAATGCAGTTTTGAGATAAACCAAAATTCTTTCCGAATTTTTTATTTTAATTAATTTTTACGGATAAAGGAAATACTTTTTTGCTTAATGTTGTATAAAAAACTTTCCATGACTGGTATTTTGCTGTAACTTATAACTGACTTATATAATTTATTATAAAACACAATATTCTATGCAGACACTAAAATAATAAATGTAATCAGTTATATTTATAAAATGTTTTTTATTAATTTCATATCTTATGCATAAATAAATTTAATAATTTCTATTTAATTCTCGTATCCGTTTAATCTATATTCAAACAGGATTTCAAACTACATATCCTTCCCTTTCTCTTATTCATTAACTCTTTTATAAATTAAATACTTTATATAATTTTTAAGTATTTTTAATATAATTATTCATATATTTAATGCAATATTTTAAAATGCGAACTTTATTTTACTGTATCAGACCATTAAGGTAACAAGCAATTTTTAGATTTACATGCACTGTATTAAGTTATTTCAAATATTTTTTATTATAAAATAAAAGAATTATTAATTTTATTAATTCTCAATATTTTTATAAATTTACAATTGTATTTAATTGTAATTTACTTTTTACGTTGATAATTTATTGTCATTATTTTATTATACCGGAAATAATTTGTATTAAGATTTACAAGTTAACATTATCAAAGTTATTTCCAATAGATTTATAGCATTTATGTATTCTTAGGAAATAAACAGCTTTTTATGTTCATATAGTTATGAATACACGATTTAATTACAATATCCATTGTTTTCTCATCAGAAGGTATCAATTTTCTAACTTTTTCATTAGTCATTTGTACCAATCCATACAAATTGTAAACCAAAACAAAGAATTTGGTTTCGTTTAGCATATAATCCGTGGAATTGTATTCTTTGAGACCATAGTTGTGTCCAAACAGTTGCTGGCATTCAGTCGTGGAGTACTCAATGAATGACTTCATTTCAGACTCCAATGGAAACCCATTTTCAAAGTCATAATTACCGGAACTTATAATATATGTTCCGAAAAAGTATCCGAAATCAAAGCCACGGCTCCCATACGACGAGAAGTCAGTCACACAAAACTCGTCCATTGTCTTGAGTGACCAAAACATTTCCTCCTCTGAAGTGATTGTGAGAGAAGACTAGCGGACAGTCAGACCAATGCTTCCCAATGTATGCTATCATCCATTGGATCTCTCCTTTCAAATCAAACTCCAGTAATGACTCGCATTTGTTTCGCTCTTAAAATGATTTCATTTCTTTGGTAATGTTGTCGTCATTCAAATCATCGACTTTTCTACTGAATAACATAGAAATCCAGTCCTTATCCCTCGGCATCGGTACTTCAAGGGCATGAAATCGGGCCAACTTTTGTGCCAATTCTTGCAATAATTTAGTGTCTTTGAGATCATTGCTATCAAACATCCGGTGTTTGTAATACCGGAGCACTTGTCCAGTGGGGTCGAGTCCATACAGTTGTGGTCCTAAACCTCTTTGTGAGATCAGAGGGACTTTAATGGCAGAAGTGAATCGCGATTTATCTGGATTACTGTCCACCAAATCAAACAAATGGCCGTTTAATCCAACAATTACTTCCTTTGGCTCTTGTATTGCTTGTCCATCAGTTGTACTCCTAATCTTCATTTGACACAAATATATCTGATTATTAAGACCACCAGTAAGTTGAGTGACACTAATGTCATGAGTTGTATAACAATTACTTCCTTTGGCTCTTGTATTGCTTGTCCATCAGTTGTACTCCTAATCTTCATTTGACACAAATATATCTGATTATTAAGACCACCAGTAAGTTGAGTGACACTAATGTCATGAGTTGTCAGTTGAGACCAAATACCAGACAAATACTTGTGACACAAATGCAGACATCGTTGCGTGTAATCCATGTGTTGATCACCACTTGTATTGTGTTCAACATATTTATTCAATTCCGATAAATCCATCACTTTATTACCCTTTGGTTTTTACAGGTATTACTAAATAGTAAGAAAAAAGTATACATTATAATAAATGTGAGAAAAATCACTTCTAATCCAAACCAGTGTTTATTATTCAATTCCGATAAATCCATCACTTTATTACCCTTTGGTTTTGACAGGTATTACTAAATAGTAAGAAAAAAGTATACATTATAATAAATGTGAGAAAAATCACTTCTAATCCAAACCAGTGTTTTTATGTCTTCATTAATTCAATACTCATTTATTATATCAATAAAATAATCCAGATTTTTACAAATTATAATATTTTAAAATAAAACTTGTAATAGATTTGTTTGAAATTCAATTCATTTCAACTTCAAATATGGGTTATAATATTGAGTAACTTTTGCAACTACAAATTACCTTACCCGTATGCATAAAAAATTTCTAAATATCTGAATTCACATAACTAATACAGTATAAACAATTCAAATTACGATTTTTATTTGTAATATTCAGTCATACATTGCAAACAATGCTTACATTTCTATACAACACTTAATTCCAAATGCTTTTCAATGAATTAATATTAATGTCATTACATTTCAATTGTTTTGTATTATCTGTGGACTCATAAAACAGACTAATATTTGCGGTTAAGTTGTCCGTCGAGTAGAAACTACCGGTCATTACAGTTAGCCCACTGTCGGCATACAATTCAACGGACGACACGTCGAGCACCAGACGCATAGACACTACCGGCCCAGTGGTCAGTCGAGGCGCGTCGGGAGTCAACATAAAATTCTTACTAAACTCATGCCTACCGGCGCCACTCCTATCTATCACAAACTTATTGCCGGCACCGGTATAGTACACTCGCAGCCAATCCTTTGCTCCCTTGAACTCAACCCCAAACCTGTCGGCGCTCTGATTCGCGCCACTCATATCCAGCTCCAACTCTATGTCCACCAGTTTTGACGCCACTTTCGGCACAATGGACAGGGATGTGTTAGCTTTGAGTACTCCGCCCGAGATTTTAGTGGAGTTTTGGTTTAATTTCAATATCTCCGGCGCCGGTATAGACGCCAACCGTAGCTTACTATCAGGCGCCGCCGTATTAATTAGGCTTAAATCGCGGGGTAATGTCATACCACCCCTCCATACGCTGGTGGGCACCTCATTAATGTACCCAAAATTACACATCCATGCGATGAACACCCGGCGCCCGCTGTCCTCCATATTATAGGTGACACCCGCGTAGCTCTCGGGCCCGTAGTCCACCCATAGGATCAGGTTATCCGGGTTATCGTTTGTGAACTTTTGGCCGTCAAATGTGCCGATGAAATACTGGGTCCGACCGGCCGTATTCACTGTCAGCACCCACTTCTCCACTGTTTTGCTAATTAAACAAATATAACATACATTTCCATTAATTTACAGAATATTCTGTTATATTGTAGTCAAACTACCCGTCGATGGTGGCGTTGATTGGGAACAGGTCGACACACTCCCAGACCCCTTCGTGTGAGCCTACTTTGAAGCCGTACTCCTGCTTCAGTTGCCATTCCTTCATATTAAGGCTATTATATATATTAACATGATCCCCGACCGCCAATACCAGGGCGTAATAGTCTCCATACTTGAATATCTTTGGGTCCCTAAAGTCCCGAACTTTCGGCGGGTCCGGTATTATCGGGTTTTTTGCATAATAACCCCAATTGAGACCGTTATCCAGACTGTAGGCCATCCACTGGCTCTGAACCCCATCCGGTGCACTATGGCCCGTAAATATAGCGATAAGTGTAGTGTTGGGCGAACCTCCCGGTGCAAAACCTGTCACGTTGTGGGTGTCAGCTATAGCACTGCCCGACCAGATATCCTCCTGGCCCTTTAACTGGGGATATAGGGCTATGGGTAGGGTCTGCCAGTGGAACAGGTCGGGTGAGGTGGCGTGACCCCAGTGCATTGGACCTGGATGGTGGCATTAATAGTTGTTTTAATTTTTAAAGTTAATTGTAGTAATGATAGTGAAAACAGTACCTGGTTTGGTGTCATTGGGATAGAATTGGTAAAATAGATGGTATGTCCCCTTATGATACAACAGGCCGTTGGGGTCGTTATTCCAGCCCTTAGGCGGTGGGTAATGGAGTTGCGGTCTATAGTCCTCGTGGTATTGGCTATAAGACAGACTGATTACACATAAATTAATAAATAATAAAATTAATTTTGAATACATATTGAACTGATTTGTTTAAAGTAACTAAAACTTAGCATACAATTAGTATTTAGTAATTACTGATTTGGATTATTGTTTTTATATAAAATATCTTGAGATTTAAAACAAATGCTGTTTTTATGATATAGATTGAACACTTTAATGATAATTATATTAATAGTGTATATGCTATTTAATACACATTGATAAGGGTTTCATTGATTTTTAAAATTGTCTTATTTTATCAAGGAAGTATTAATTTGTGATACTGGATTAAAATATGTGAAGTCTCAGGGATGATTCACATATTACGTTCGCACTTGGGGGTCGGGGGGGTCGGCCAAAGCGAATTTTTGCGAACGAGAGGGGGGATGGGGTTGAGACCTTAAGAACGTTCGCACTTAAATAATAAAAGGATTAATTTTTATCAAAGTTAATATTTTTAAAAACAACTGTTTGATAACTTTGAATGAATAAATGAACTTTGAATAGATTTTTTCCTGTTTATGAACGATATTTTGAAAGTGAAAATGATTTTTTAAAACATCACAAGTATCACTACTGAAATCATACATATCGCCGACAACATGACCACCTAGAGCACTATTCTTAAAATTATTATCTATACTATGTTTATACTTAATGATTTAACTGATTAGTTTAATTTTAAATAAAGTATATATATAAATTTAATTGAATTTGATTTTTTAGGGGAGGGGGGGGG